AAAACTATATTATATTTCAAAATTTTTCCCTATTTTCCTTTCTGTTAGTATTCCTATTAGTGTTATAACGCATGAAATATACATTATTTCGAAAAATTTGTTTTTAAAAATTGAACATTAATGTCGTGAAAGAATTCTTTAAAGAATTTTAGTGCCGTTCTTTTTTTATCATATTGCTATACGTTATTTTACATTTTATATGATTGAGAACTACTGATTTTAATACTGATATTTTTCTTATCCATTTCTTGTAAAATGCTTATACTATAACGCAACTACTACGATGTTATGAAAAGAATAGAAATATATAAGCGATTTGTTTCGTGAATAAATGCCTAATTCGTGTAATAAACTATAAAAACAATTGTCTCTTAATAAATTTTATACCATCTTTTTCTCAATATCATTATAATACACTGCGAAAGAGTAACGTAAATGTTAAGTAGCCGTAATTAATTATGCTCGATCATCGTCAGACATATAGTCCCATTCGGAAAACCCGCGTCGACCTAATTGCTGCCAATTTATTTAATCGAATAAAGAAGGGCTTGTGCTGGAGATCCCAAATTCCTGGTGTGCGACATGGTATTCGCATTACGAAAGGCCGGGTTTAGCTTTCTGACCGCCCGAGTAGCAAGTGTGTGCAGAGGTTACAGTTAAGGTGGCCTGTTAAGAGCGGAAGGGTTGGTAGAACTCATTCGAGGACGAGTGGAATATGAGAGGCCGACAAGGGTGGAGGAACAAAAGCGTTGTACTTTTGCCCAGTAGGCTACTGCCATATTTCCAAATGTATGCGTGTTATACTTCCTACGGTTTACTTATTTTACATATATATTACACACATACACCATTTTCATTAATGCGGTAGCGCTATTATAATTTCCACATTGCATCTTGTCAGAAAAAAAAAAAGATTGTCTAATCGAGGCTAAATAATAAAAATGTTTACATTTGTAGGAGCGGCAAAAAGAAAGCGTTTGGCGTAATCAACCTCGATTTGTGACATTTAGAAGTAAACATGTATAGTCAGGCGGTTGCGAGAAAAGAGGAACGCGAAAACGCGGAGGAGGTCCACGGACATGCGGCATGTCGGTGCAGAGAAAGAGAAGGTTTACGAGAGAAACGCGGCCACCGCAACACACGCGGTGGCCGAGACCAAACCAAACCAAAGATTAATGTACTACACTTACTAGGGCAATTTGCGCCAAGTGTCGGTTGTAGAACTGGGTATACCTCGAGTTCTGGAGGTAGATTTGTTTCACGAGCACTCGCGGGGAGATCCCTCGCTCTCTTTTCCCCGAAAAATAACTCGAAAGGAAAGTTCTGAATCCATGGGAGCGAATGGAGAAATGATAAAACTTCTTGCAAGTCTTGTACATTCCGGCGCTGTAATGAATACAGCGATATTATTGGCATTCCCCGACACGTTTATTAAATCGCTAATGAAAATCTTTAATCGGCGATCCAAGTGCAAATCGAAAAAGTCATCCGATGATCCGCTAATTAACGTCTTAACGGATAAATGAATGATTGCCAACATGGAAGCATTTAGTTCTGCCGGCGTATCACGCGGAGGGCAGGATATAAGCAAATTAAATATGCATAATTAAAACGAAATAGCGACGGGAGAAACGTCGCTCGTGCGGTTCTGGCTGGCTCGAATCAGAGGGAAGAGGACTTAAGGCAAGGAACATTCTCGTAGCAACATCTGGCCGCTATGAAGTATAAAGAGGCATGCGATATCATCCGCAGTGAATGCTTAATTAAAACCTCAGACTCCTCAGCCACGGAGTTCCCCTTAGTCGCGCGCTAATCGCAAGAACCGCCGTTGCTGTTCAACACGAACTAGCTCACCTTTACGTATATATCCCTGCAGCGACAATCCCCCTCCCCCCCTTCGCTTTACCAATTGATTTTCATCTCTACTAATCGTTTAATAATCATATCTGATTTCGTCGAAAAAAATTCTTTTAAATGTTTATTTTAAATTTATAAAAATTCGATTCTCGATTCAAATTTGCTCGAAGCTAAGTAAGAATTTTTCACTCAATGTGATAACTGCCAGAAAAGACGGAGTTTGAGAAGCGATAGTGAAAGTATGCATGCTATAGCACTTCCGGTGGCACACTAGCCATCCAGCGGGACGGGAGAAAATTTCACTTGGAACGTCTAACGAGTTCGCTTTTACCCCAGACGACGAGGAAGAAAAAGTTGGACGAGGGTCGGTGGGGAGCGGAGTTTCAGATACGAAAAGCGAGCCTCCGCTTTCTGGCGAGGCGAAGGACGGCGGAGAGACCCCGTCTCAGTGATCCGGTGAGATTGACAGGTCGAGCCCTACTCGTGGACTCGTGCCGGTTGCCATGCTAAAATGGCGATGAAAGATGGTTTACTTTTAATGGCGGATACGCTGCCTCTCAGTGCCTACGCACTTCTCCGGACTAATTATAAACTCGTTGAAGGAAGAACCGCAACCTAGTCAATGTCAAATTGCTTCCGGATCTCTCGTAAGACGCGCCAGCAATATTTTTGTTAGTTTATACAGCGTGCTTCACCGCGTTTATTTTACATGTAATCAATTACAGCACATGTTACCAAGCTATTGTAGCGCTCAATACTCGAATTACCTGCAAAGATAACAGGTTCACGTTTTTCGTATCACCCGATAGCGCATATATCACGCGTCGTTGCGGGAGAGACAGCAACGTCAATATATATGCAAACGCCGATATAACGATCTATCGGTACGTAAATATACAAAGGGCGAGGACGAGCGTAGGAGAAAAAGCGACGGCACGAAAGAAAAGGAAAAAAGATGAAGCAAAGCAGACGCGCGCGCGCGGGATAGAGAAGAGAGAGGGAGAGAGAAAACTCCAAGCTTAATATAAAACTTCATTTCGCAATCGGCAGCAGCCGGAGGAAACGCGAAGATCCGACACGCAGAAATTCCGCGGTTGTCACAAAAAAGGGGAGCACGAAGGGATCTTATTTTTCCAGCATTAAGCTTTTCGCAGAGTGCACATTACTTTAAACACAATTCTTTATTTTCGACAAAATTGCGCGGCGCGACGTGTTCTGACAGGAAAAGAAAATGTGGTGACAATTTTCGGAGCGCCGCAAAGCGTGAAATGACGAATTCTTTCAAAATTAATAAAGCTAAATACAGATCCGAATGTTGAAAATTATTGCCGCGCAGTTTCCAGAGAGAAATCCGTTATCGGGGAAACTCCGCCTTGCACGGCAAAGAAAAGATAAGATAAAGAATCGGTGAAGAAAGACAGCGCAGTCGCTTTTATCGCGCGAAGCGCTGCAACTGTGTCGATTTGAGGAGCATACCTCTTACCTCGCGCCGCTCTTTTCTCAAACTTTTCGTTCGTATATTTCGGACCTTTCTTTCTATATGTTTTCGGGGGTGTGCCGAGAGAAGGGGTCGGGCACCGAACATCGGTGGCGCGAGCGAGGCGCGCGCGATGAAACTTTTAATAAATGGCAGAGTCGATATGAAGTATAGGACTTTGACATATCGTGTGTCTGTAATGTATAGTTAAATCTGGTGGCAGATGTGGAGGGTGTTCTCCGCTCTCTCGCTCGTCTCTCTCCGATATCTATTCGCTTTCTCACTCGTCTCTCTTCGACATCCACCCGCTCGCTCGCTCCTTTTCGCTCCCTCGGCCTTCTCTCGCCTCCTCTCGCGGCCATCCGGCCATGGTTGATATCCCTGCCACCCCGAAAATTTCCTTCTAACCCACTGACGAATTGAATATATTATTACGATAAATTAATACGTTAATCAAGAATTAAGATATATAACATTTTGTATACAACAAAATTTCAAACAAATTTTTACAAGTTTTTTATAAGTCTATGCACTTTTATGATATTTTCCATTGCACATTTTAAATATTATTCGTCTTATATTTGTTATTCAAGTGCTTAAATTTTGAGCATTATTATTAAGAGTTATATAAAATTAAATGAGATTATAACATGTTCACTTTGTATCAAAACTGGGATGCAACGTGATACAATAAACGTAGTATTCTTATTTAGTTCGACACTGCAACATGTAAAACATGCTGGACCTGGATATTCTCACGCTAAAGAGGATCGATTGTAACAAGTAAACGACTTGCTTCATGCGGACCGCTCGATGAGGGTACTGACGCGAATTTTTTTTTCCTCGGAAGAGCGACAGTGAACTTTTCAATCAAACTGCCTGTCTAAATGAAAGCCTCCACAAAGCGAATCAGGGTAATCTGTCATCAAAACTGTTCCGAAACGAACCGTCGCAATACTTGTTGGCGCCCTACGACCGTTGCAATAATAATACGGTTGCATTCGATCGATGAAGCGATCCAGTTCAAATTCATTTCAAAAAGTTTATGTACGTAATATTATATGCACGATTGAAGTATAAATATATACGAATAAAGAGCTATTTGTAAATTGTCACAGATGAATGTTTAAAACATCAATATGCAACTTCTTTGTATACTGACAAGTGCTAATGTGTGTATTTACAAATAAACAAATAATTAATTGAGAACAATATATAGATACAATTTCCATCTGTAATAAAGAGCAAATATCCCGACAAATAATAACTAGTTACAATTTTAAAATTTCGTGAAAATTGAATTCGATCTCGACACACAAATTTATTACTAAACGATAATTTCAAAAGTGAAAAAAAGATCATTATTGAATCGGATAAATCTAAACGTGTGAAAAGTAAATGGCGCAATTTGACGAGATGTAATTTAACTTCTCCGATTGCTCTGTTAACGATAAATTCACTGTATCGTTGTTCAAAGGATTGATAAAAGCAAGAGACTATCGTACCTTCTGATTCGGACGATAATCCAGCGAAGGTAGAAGACCGCGTGGCCGAGCACGTGAGAAAGTTCCCCACCACTTGGAGCAAAACCGAATGACGCGCTCGCGCGTACCGCCCACAGTTGCGCCGGGTAACCGTGGCCGCCCAAACGGGCCTCGTGCTCGTCCGCACGAGAGTCGCCCGCCTGCACTCTCACGGCACGGATCTGGTCGCCGTACCCTCCTGGTTGTGTGCCCTCCGAGCCCTCCAAGGCCACCGTCGCCACGACAGGCCAGCCCGCCTACGTCGGCGGAGGGCCGTGCCTCGACGCTCGTGTTACCGCTTCACGATTGGTTCGCTCCATTCCAGCAAGCGCAGTCACGTGATCGGGCCGCCACCACATTAAAGGACGACTTCCACCTCAATGCCGAAGTGGACTCCCAGCCACCCCCTCCCGGAACGGGGAAAGAGACAGCAGTAACAACAGAGACACCGGGAACACCGGAGAGACGAAAAAGATCGTGGAAATTTCGGTCCTGGCGACTGGAGACGACCGTCTCTTTCTACGGGACGTCCTTCGCCTCTCCTATCCGCGTCTTCGTGGATCGACGAGTACCTCCACCACGGACATCGCTGGCCCCCCACCTACCCTCGGCCGCTATCTCTACGTCCTCTCTCTCTTCTCCGTCACTTAGCAAGTATACTGCGATCGGTGACTGCTTGGCGTACCCTAGCGTACCGCTCGCCTGGGTTTCGGCCGATCGGCAACAGTGACGGCAGCCGCGGTACGCGCGCGATTCGGCACGGCGTTCTCCGTCGATCGGTCGGACTATCGATCAAATCGCCGCGGCTACGTGTGACAGTGGTGATGAGTGCTTGGTTATTCCTGCATTCGGATCTATGAATTGGATCTGTCGTCCAAGCCGTGTCAATCGCGAGCGAGCAGTGTCATGTCCGTAGCGTGCTTCGAAAATCTGCTTCTTATTGATATCGTGTTTAGTATTACAGGACAAATTGTTCTGCTAAATGAAATTTTTCCCCTTCATAAAAGAGGATGAGCACGAATATACGGCTTGCGATAATTCACCGTAGTGAATATTATAATAGTAGCAAACGATAATTTACCGTAGTGAATATTATAATAGTAACAAATATGCAGTAAACAATATAGTTGGTTCATCGACTGGGGATCGGTGTACTTTCTTGGTGAAAATCACCATCGCGTTAGTGAGTAAGGAATAAAAAACACGTAATATTTAAGAATATTATATAAAAGAGAAACGGGATTTCAGTTTCATGTTAAAATAAAAAATGAGTAGAATTAGCAATCGCGTACGCGCTAATGACAATATACGAAAAAAGAGAAAATAGGCTACATAAGCAGATTCATGCTTTCTTTAGCCTTCTCGAAAGCGAGTCCCGACAAAGTTTTACGCGACATTTCAACATAAATACATTCTGAGAATCGAGAAATTAACTTTTAATAACACTTATCGAGTGAATTTATGTGAATAGTGCGTTCATCAATATCTACACGCTGTAGATATCGCCTCGAGGCAAGATATCGGAAAGAGATACAGCTGTATAATTTCCTATGAACGCTATCTGTCAACAGTTAGCGATAAATGATTCCCTAATTATTGCATTCGTCATCGAAAAACAAAAGCAAGGTGCAGGTGCACGCTAGCGCGTATTATTCTATGCGCGACAAGCAACGCGCGTTGGTGTACCCTGAAGAAGATTCGCGCCAATTGCAGTTGTCCGGCTCCAGCAATCTGCAGCTCAGCAATCATCCGCAGAATTTGATCCACGTAAGTAAGGAGCTATCGACCGTGAAGACGAGGCCGACGACACCCGTCCTGGCGAACGACGGAGGGGGCGGCTTCTGGCTGGCCACGGTGGCCGCGGGGGCAAGTACCCCAGCCGGGCTGCCCCCGCACGGGACTCATCACCCAGCCATGGACCCAACATGCGGGTCCGCCGAAACCGGCTTTATCAACAGCCAGCCCTCGATGGCCGAATTCATGACGGCATTGCCGCAATTAGCCGGGGACAGCAGTCTGCAACATTCACCGGGGACCGGTGGATCCATCAGTCCTGGTGCTCATCATCCCGCATACCACACCATGATGGATCCCCACGGTGTCGCTGACCCCTCAGGTGTCAATGTTCCTGAATATCCTTGGATGAAAGAAAAGAAAACGACGAGGAAAAGTAATCAGCAAGGTGAGTCATTAATGATATTTGTTTCACTTTCGTGGATTATCGTGCTACTGCTAATGGAAGCTAAAGATAAGAAATTTTTTGATCATCGTTATCGCGTGAAACCACGCGTTCGCTAATTATTACGGCGTGATATACTTATTGAGAAATTGCCATGCAAAAATTGTCTCTCGATAATTAATAATAAGCAATGATTAAAATCAATCTCTCCGATGTTTGATTTCGACTTGTAAAAGACGAATAAAAAAATTCAATGTCGATTAAATTTCATTATATCTAAAATTATATCGATTAGAGACGATATCACGTGTATAAGTTTGTTGATAAATCCGACAAATAGATCAGTTAACGCTTATTACGGCTATCATCTATATTATGCGAACATAATTGCAAATTTGTCAGGAATGTAAAGTGACAATCGTGAAAGTCAATTAACGGTGGCTGTTAGGATTCGGTGCGCCGTTTACAGCATTAGGAGTCTATTGACTCCTCGCCGCTACATTGTGGCTCGCCGCGGGGCGCCTACTATCCGACGGCTAATGACAGTTCCGAGCAACTCCTTTCCTACTACTGCTGTCGCACATCTGGAATAACCTAACATACGATAAAACCACATATTTTCGAATATTTACACATTTTAAACAGCAAGTTGACATATTCGCAACAAATGCCGTCCATATGTGAATTCTTTAAAAGACGACCAAAGTGTCGTTGCAGGCAGAACTGCGCTTCATAATTCATAATACTGAGCATTCATAATTTACGATACTGCATAATTTACGTGCATAAAATCCGAGTTTTGTTGTTAAGAAATTAATTCCACGTACTGCGTTTATTATCGCGCTTATTATACATGAAGAAAACTCGATGAAACTCTGCACGATATGAGGAAAATACTGAAAGTTTCGCGAGTTAGCTTCGCTACGTTAAGTCGGAGAGATATCTGCGGGCACTCGTTTTCCAACAACTTGTTGGCTATTGTGAGGCTATCGAGGACCAATAAATTTATGGAGAGATTCATGGCGCAAATTTATCGGCCCCCGATAGCCTCGCAATAGCCAACAAGTTGTTGGAAAACGAGTGCTCGTATCTTTTTCATGTACAACGCGATAATGAACGGCATACGTAAAATATGTTTCTCGATATCCATTAATTTTAAACCCGTGAAAAATCATTTAGCATTCTCCGCATTGACATTTGCATATATGCGACAGTGTATGGCTGCTCAATCCGCAGAGTCGACTACTTTTAAACCATTAGGACAACCATTCGACAGAATTCGTTAACCCTACGTCTATTTATCTACTGTCATTCTTCTTTTTCGCATGCCGATCTCGCGTTTACAAAGGCGATTTAACGTCGTGCCGACTTCAAAACGCGGTCGGACCGTCCACAGGACATGTCGGAAGATTAAGTGTTTGGCACGGAGGTTAACCAGCCGCTGGCCAGGCGGTAACACGCGGAATCATCTGTAAATTGAGCCCTGGACTAGCGGGAGAGAGCGTCGGGACGGCCATAACTCACATGGGGTGCCGCCACCGACGCCTCGTACACGTCGGCTCTTTGCTTTCAACTACCGTGTTATCCCTTATCGTGCGCTGCCCCGGTCATCTCTTCGTGATTTGCGAGCCTATCGTACCTCTTTATAATTATATTCTTGACGACATGGAAGGGAATGAAAATCGTGCTTTCTAAAAGTTAAATTTTATTATTTAGAAATGTAATTAAAAAAAATTTATCTCATGATATGAAAACGCGACGTTACAGCAATATTTATTAAAATTTTGTATTAAATTTATCATTCAATTTTCCATTGAATTTGTATTATTTTTAAAAATAATCGAATTTGTGTCTTACGAAGAATTTATAATTATTGTAAGCCTTCACAAAGCGTCGCGTAATATATTCTCACCGTATGGATACTCGTGACATTAGGAACGAAACAAACATCGTGGTAACGATAATATCAGTGATCTGTATCATAATATTGTCGATTCGAGAAATTGCAAAACAACGAGGCTTTAACAGATGTGTTCAGCGACAAGACTCGCCTGATTTTGATACATAATAACAACGGCAACCGACCAAGGAGAGGAAGTTAGAAAATTTTGAAAATAAAGACTTATATTTCATATATCCATTAGTCAAGTCTTATTTTATGTTATATCCACTTTGCTTCATTTCTTATTTTCTCTTTTTCTAAACTCTCACATTATTTCGAATTTAATTTTCTACAATGCCGTATGAATCGCGCAAAGGCTCTTAGCTTTTATTATTTGTTAATTTTCATTCCATTTCTAAAAGTGATATTTAATTGAAATTTACTATATTAGAATTCTTTCACCTTCGCTTCAAGATTTTATTCATAAATTTCGATGAATTATGTAACCAACAGGAATTAAACTCATTATCCCTTTATTACGATTTTAATCGTCAAATTCTCACTCTGACAAATCCCGAAGACGGCGTCGTCTCCGTCTCGTGAAAATGGATAGGTCCTACGAAACCTTAAGTAACATCTCGTCTTTCCGTATGTGTCACCATGCTGCTCGTATTAAATTTCAATCTGTTACATCTACGTGCCCTCCAGCCGAGATGTTTTAGTTCGAGTACGCCGCGGATGGAACGATGAAGGGGGACGAGGTCTGATTAGTTGAGTTATTTGCCAGGAGAAGAGGCGCGACCGACGTTCCATGCTTCGTCGGTAATTCTTGCTGGATACCTTTTCTACAAAAAAGCCACGAATCTACGAGTGTTTTTCCCGACGCCTTGTTCCAGGCGTCTCATCAGTCACGTCGGTGGATGCCAAAGCGGAGGCGTCAGCTCAGCAGGCAGACTCCTCCAAGACGCCGATGTGTCAATTAATCCCTGCATCCCTCGGGATAGGACTAGGCTAGAAGCTGGATTATCATCATCCTCTCGCCGCTATCTTCCGTCTTCCGTCCCTCCTGCGGGACGGCCATTTTCGTAACCAAACTGCTTCTTACTAAACTACGACGGGCTGCGTTTCCGCCATTAATTAATATAGCGGTGATACTTAATGCCGCTAATAGTTCCGCTTGATGTTTGCAAATTTGCGAAAGAAAAGTATCGCGTGGTTGTAGAATCCGTGTGGACGGAGTGAAAAATAACGCGGCGACGCGCGGTTATAAAAGCGAAAAATTTCTAAGAGCCTACGGCGAGACACAAATATCGGAGCGGAGCTGGAAGGGGCGTAAAGGGGCTCGATAACGAAAGAAGGGTGGAAGGAATTGACTATACTTGGCGATTCCATGATATAGGTGATTGAGCGGGACTTTACCCTCCGGGGTAGAGCACAGTACGAAAAGAACGGAGCATCTAATTTAAAGATTCATTGGCGAGTAAATCCTCGCTGAATTAGAGATAACTCTCCTAGAAAATCCCAGCTACTATGATACTCCGCAGCCCGCTGTCGCTGCGGTTGCTCGTTAAAAGAACGAGTCTTAAGACGAAGATATCGGTGAAAACGAATTCAATGTGCGATAAGATTCGCTGGCAAAACCTTTTCAATATGACAGATTAATCTTTACTTATTTTATTATTCCATGTTTGAAAATAACGTGTGGCATATATCGTAGAAAAAAATCGTATTACTATTTGTTATTATTATCATTAATATGAACGTATAGAAAGAAGCGCAATGTTGTTTCACGTCATAATGATTATTACATCATTAACGTTGAGTATCATTAATCTTGCGTCTCTAAATTTGTCAACATGTCCACGGATTAAACGAAGCGCGTATATACGTCTGGAACTTATGTACTTTCAAATACACATATTACAGTGCCACCGTTAAAGCAGCAGGCAGTGTTAGCGGCCGTTACATGAAATCGCTGTAAATATTCGACGCGGCGCTCGTCTAACCTGGCAAAACGAATTATGGAAAGGAAGAAACGTAGTTCTTACACATATACGGTTTTCCCAGCTCGTTGGTGCAAACATCTGGAGGAATAACGCCGCATAAAATATTCCAGATTATCCCCCAAACCGACCAAGTACAGCGCTTTGCAGCTGCAGGGGGGCCTACGGCGAGATGCGGGTGGCTCGCACGTTTGCCAAGCTCAAATAATAAACACGGTATAACAAATTGATAATCTGAAAGGCCATAATCGTACGCATGTTTCGGCCCGGAATCTGTGGCCCGACACTAAAAGAAGTTTCCACGCTCGTTGTTACGCCAAATGGACCGCTATAAAAGCGTGGGGTTCGCACCGCTATGCTCTCTCTTTTCCTCCTGCTTATCGTCGCTCTCCTTCATTCCTATAGTGAGATTGCAGAAGTAGATCGCGCGATTTTGGAGTCAAAAAAATTGTTACTAACATATTTGAATGATTTATGAAGAATTCAGTAATATGTCAGATAACGCAGAATAAAAATTATCTAAATACGAACCATACAGCTCTGTTAAACAATTTTACTTCCAGATATTTAATACAAATTTTTACATCTTGCTCGAGTAATTGAGAATATTTACGTTCGTCAAGAGAAACAAAATTGCAAAGTATAACTGTGAAAGATACAAATATAACATAAGCATGATTATAATATGAGTCAATCGGATACTCTATGACGTTCCATAAAAAAAATAAAACAGCCAGTGATTTTCTGCGGCGATAATAATTTTATGCAAATGTTCGAAGCTGAATCTCGGGAATGGCGACGATATTGTCAGATAGACATCTCTCGCCACGTTCCTCGTATCTTCCCCTTTCTAGTGGGGAATAAAAGACGTTGAGGATTCCTATATCTGTTATTCTACACTCGTAAAAGGAAAGTAGGTGTAAAAATTTACAGAAAGAACGGTAACATGTGCCGGAGGGTTAGTCACAAATGATCATAAAATCAAGTATATTTTGCATCTTTTTTAAAAATATTAAGCGGGTCAATTGCAGTGTTATAATAATTGCTTAAATCGTACTTTCAGCTTGATGTATAGCAGCGTAGAAAATTATTCTAACTCGCGTATTTTTTTTTAATCA